ATATGTAGTATATCCCTGGTTTAGGGTTTAGGGTTTAGGAACCCCCGTTTATGGCCGAAGTCTAAGTATACCCCTAACCCTAAGCCCTAAGCCCTAAACCCTAAAACCCTGGACACTTATCGCCATGCCTGCTTTGCGAGTGTGTGAGTCGAAAACCCTAAACCCCCGTTTATGGCCGAAGTCTAAGTATACCCGTAACCCTAAACCCTAAACCCTAAACCCTAAACCCTAAAACCCTAAACCCCCGTTTATGGCCGAAGTCTAAGTATACACAGAATAATGGGTGCCGTATTATAATAAGGACCCAGAAAGGGACCATAATTTTGAAGATCGAGGCCAGTGGCTGCTTCGCCCTAGCAACCGGCCTCGGCCAGCTCAAGGAGCTCAGGTCCCCAAGAAGAACCCATTTCTCTCCTTTTTTTATTTATATTTTTTTAGGGTTAGGGTGTAGGGTTTAGGGTTTGGGGTTTAGGTTTAGGGTTTAGGGTTTAGGGTTTAGGGTGAAAACTAGATACTAGGAAACTGGGTATCCTTTGTGTAAGGGCTTATCTCACAGCCCTAAACCCCTCAACCCTTAAACCCCAAGCCCCCAAACACTTAAACCCCAAACCCTCAACCCTAAACCCCCAAACCCTCAAACATTAAACCCCTAAGCCCGAAACCCTAAAACCCTAAACCCTTAAACCCCAAACCCCTAAACCCTAAACCCCTAAACCCCTAACCCCCACCCCCTCCCCCCCTAACCTAAACCCCTGGCAACCCAGGAGCTGACTTCTATGAGACTCCGGGTGTCCCAAAACGGCACCACCGCGGAAGGGCGCGCCTTCCTGAAGGATGCATTCTGCCGGATGCAAGGCCCCAGAAGTCCTTAGGGTTTAGGGGTTTAGGGTTTTAGGGTTTAGGGTTTAGGGGTTTAGGGGTTTAGGGTTTAGGGGATCGGGATTTAGGGGTTTAGGGGTTTGGGGTTTAGGGGTTTAGGGGTATAGGGTTTGATGCAAGGCCGCACCTTAACTGAGGATTCAGGGTTTCGGCTTTGGAGCATAGAGCTTCAACTACAAGGGGCACAAGGGGGTCCATTGCACGATTTACTGGATATTCCTAAACCCTTAAACCCTTATATAAATGCATGAGCCCTAAACAGTAAACCCAGAACTGCGAGCCCCGACAGGGTTTGGGGTTCAGAGCGTGCGCGTGCACGTGGACTTAGCAAGAATAAGCCTATGAGGTTTGTTGATCAGAAGTATAGCTGAGCGCGCTGAAACCCTAAGTGCACTAGAAGGGTGGTATAGCTATGGTTGTCAGTACCGTAGGAGTTATTGAACCTTAAATCCTAAACCCGAAAGCTTAAACGCTGATCCCTAAACCATAATTACTATAAGCTCCGGATCCTTTAAGTCTCTCAGCGACTGCCATCCCTGAAACCCGTTTAGAACCCTCTGCTTTCACACCTTAGAAACTCCGAAAGCCCTACACCGTACCGCACAACCCGAGTCTCTACGTTGAGCTTGGCAAAACAAGCCCTAAACCCCTAAACCCGAAGCCTCAAACCCTTAACCCGAAACCATAAACCCGAAACCCTAAAACTTAAAACCCTCAACCCTAAAACCTAAACCCTCAACCCTTAAACCTTAACCCTAAATCCTCAACCCTTAACCCTTAACCCTCAACCC